GTGAGACAGCTGCATGCAGCTCATGTAAATGCAGATGTCTGCATGTGGTGGTCTTTGCAGGACATCTCTGAAGTACCTTACTGAGATGCTAATGGTAACTCTGATGTTGAAATGTGGGCTCAAAAGAAACCTTAATGAATGGAAGAGTTATTTTACATGCTGTTGCTTTTGCCCAAACAGTACACTGTTTTACTGCATAATTCACCTCCTGTTCCACAAATATGTGTGGTCACACGAAACCTTTCTTTACTGGCATTTTCCTTCTCACAGGAGAAGTCATCTCGCTTGTCTGCAGCGTTGCTTGGTGAGGACTGTGAGATCAGCCCAGAGCAGCTGTACGAGCTGCTACAGTATGCAGCCCTGGGGAAACGCCACAATGCAGCCCAGCCCAGGTACAGCACCTCTGTGCTCAGGAGGCAGCCCTGTGCTGTGCGAGCCTCTGAAGGCAGTTGTGCTCTGGAACTCTTACAAGGCCATACTGACAGCTTGCATTACATAGATATGGTTCATGTTAGGCTTGGTTGCAGACCAGAATTCTCACAGAAATTCTAGCATTCCATACTTTTGTTTCATGCAGTCACAGAAACAAAATTTGTGGAGCAGCAGCTTCACACACCAAGAAAAGAAATTTGCTGTTAAAATGTTAGCACTATACTGTTTTGTGCCAGGTGTATTTGAAGTGTTTTCTCTGGAGTGTTTTGGGAAAGCCGATTTAGTCACTTTGCCTTTTTTCATCTTCTCAGTAACTCTTCTGTTTCCTGCTGAAAGGCTGAGGGGGTATATAGCCTTGGTTGACTCAAGTTTGGTGACATGCAGCGTGTCTTGCAGTAAAGCTACATGCAAAAAACATTTCAGGCTTTCAGTACTGAATAGAAAATGATTTTGTGAATTTTTCATTTTGATGAAGTAATCTTAGTTTGACCAGATTGCATCACTACAGCGGGAGATACTGGTTTGTGTTTGTATTCTGGTGCATATAAATGAGGTATGGTAAGACCTGAACCTATATCTGAGCCAGGAGTGGAGTTCAGGTACAACTCATTCTTTCTCTGTCTCTTGTGTTGTGTCTCTTGTGTTGTGGCTGGCTGAGACAAGCGATACGAGCCTCTTCTCACTGAAGTCACTTGACATTTTTGCCATTGATGGACTTAAAAGCTGGTCTGGCTCCAAGTTTGTTTCTAAGAGTGCATGATGATTGTGTTGCTTTGAGTTTTATGTATTCATTTATTTATTTGTTTTATTGCAGCTGGTGCCATGTTTATCACCAAAGCCGTCTGGCTGGGGTTGTGGTTATTGTTCTGCATGAAATGAGCCAGCTCCACTTCTACAAATTCTATTTACAGTTCAAACACCTCCGAAAAGTGTTCCAGCATGTAAGTCCCTGCACTGCTGTCTACTAAAATTCTTCCAGTGCTGAAGCTGTGCCCTGGTTACTGCTTGCCGCTGCTTGCTTGAGACTGTGGCCTTTCCAGCAGGAAGCGGCCACCTTTGATTGCTCACCAAGTGAATGAGAGCATCTCTCTAGGCTCTGACAGCTCAAGCTGAGGCCAGGGCTGCAGTGTGAGAAACAGATTTTCAAGGCTTAGATCTCTGCAGCCTTACCAGGTGAAATGTCTATGCTGTGGCATTTCAGTCCTCAATGCTTCTGACTTCTTCAGGCTGCCTGGGAGATTAAAAATACCTCTGCTGATTTGAAATATGCTCTTGGGTGTGAGTGAGGAGAATCTTAATAGAGTTATGCTGTTCCCTTCCCACTGATTGAAAAATCTGTGTGTGCTCTATGTCAAGTTTCTCCCATTTATTTCAAGATTATTAAGAGTCATTTCAATTTTCTGAGCTGCAAGCAAAATCAAGAAAGGAGGGAGGGGAGGAAGGAGAAAAGGGAAAGAGGGAGGGAAAGAAGGAAGGGGAGGGGAGGGAAAGGGAAAGGGAAAGGGAAAGGGAAAGGGAAAGGGAAAGGGA